GTTCACTTCAACCGAACCCAGACTGAGGTTTGGAGGACCAGAGGTCAGAGGTCGGTTAGCGTTCACACCAACCGAACCGGACTTTGAGTAGACGAGCAGACTGGAGTTGGGTTAAAGCGGACCGGGTCGGGATAAGGCTCGGTTCCTTCTCTTCAGTCCAACTGAATATTTTCCATCGTTCTTCCTAATAATCCAAACATCCATTTGGTTCTGACCTTTGACCTCAGAGGAAGCTGAAGTTTCTCCTGCGGTTGAATTAATCAGACGGAGGCTCTGGTGATCAATCACTGCTGGCAGGAGGTCAGAGGTCGCGTGCAGAAACGGCTGCAGAGTAAATCAAGGCTCTGGTTGTTCTGAGGAACAATGAACCGATTTTCAGTGCCGCCGTGGGCCGAATGGCTGCGTCACCACGGCAACGGCGTGTGGGCGGGCCGGCTGACCTCGGGTCGGTTCTGTGGGCCGAAGGCTCTCAGAACCAGGGAGGAAGTTCCCACCGAGCGAACGGCTCCCTGCTGGGCCGAGCAGCAGGTCCAACTGGAAATGAAACGATTTGAACTTTAATCTGGTTTTAACTCCTGCAGGTTAATCTGAGCTGCTACATGTCAGCTGGAACATTTCCTGTTAGGAACATGAATAATAAAGTTTTTCTAATTTATCACCAAAAGTTAAACACTTCAGAAACAAAAACTGTAAATCTGCAGCAGAGAAATCAGCTGGTGGATAAAAACAGCTGATTTGGTTCTGAGTTTCTGCTGAAATGTTTCTAAACACAAAATATTTAAATCTATTTAAATTTGCTGCTTCTGACATTTTTATCTTTGATTTCTGTAGAAATTCATCTCAGATGTTTTCAGTCCTTTGGTTTTAAAATCTGGACGAATTAAACTTTAGATAAAAACTCGTCATGCAGTCGATGTCAAAATGATCTTTGTTGGTTTTTCCTGTTTTCTAATCATTTCCAGTTTATGTGTGAAAAAAATCACATTAGAATATTTTACAGAGAATGAATCACCTCTAAAAACCAAAACCTCCTCAGGTCTGCAGATGAATCTGTTCACTAATCAGGCGAACAACATAAAATATGATGTTTGTGCTGAAATTCATTTTTCTTCCTGTTTAGAACCAAATAAGTTTCAGGCTGAAGCTTCAGACCGAAACAGGAAACGACGATCAGAACGCAGGAGACGCTACGCAGCCAAAACCAGACCTGGACCATGACCTGGAGGGACCTGGAGGGACCTGGAGGAACCTGGAGGGACCTGGAGGGTCCTGAAGGAACCTGGAGGGACCTGGAGGAACCTGGAGGGACCTGAAGGAACCTGGAGGAACCTGGGACTCTGTATCTGAATCCATAAAAGGAGCAGGTAAGAACTCATTCAGTCTGAAATCTGGTAAACATCCTCTTCATCCTCTTCATCCTCTTCATCCTCAGTATTTTTGCTCCAGTTTTGATGAAGATCAGAAAACCTTCCTGAGTCGTTTGTTTGTTTCCAGTACTTTCTGGTTTTCAGTGAAACGTTTCTGAGCCTCTTCAGAACCGGCGGCCCGATTCCTGACCTGCAGGTTTTCAGGCTGCAGCTTCACATCGATGATCTGAGTTTTTCCCTCTGGCTTCAGAAAACAAGCAGAGACTTGATGCTGCAGAAGAAGAAAAAACAAACTGAGCGACGAGTCGCTGCAGCTGCTGCGCCTTCAAGCCTTCATGTTTTCATCTTCAAGCCTTCATGTTTTCATCTTCAAGCCTTCATGTTTTCATCTTTAGTTCTTCATGTTTTCATCTTCAAGCCTTCATGTTTTCATCTTCAAGCCTTCATGTTTTCATCTCTAAATGTTTCATTTGATGAGGTGATGCATTCAGGGACCCTGGGAAACCGAAGACAAACCTTTTCAAACGGATCCTGTTTGTTCCTGTGATCTTCATGGTCGGTGGGACAGTTTTTAGAAAATACTGAAGTTTTAATTTATTTTTTTATTTAATGTTTAGATGTTGGATGAACATCAGAGGAAATAAAACATGAAGAAACAGAAACGGTTCAGGAGAGAAACTGACTGATCGGATGATTACAGACGATTCAAACAGATCTGAAGAAAATCCTGAGAAAATTCTGACTAAAAACAAGAAAAAAAAAACGATTTTGGCCATGAAATAAAAAACAAAGTCGTTTTTAGGAATGGAAACTGAAACGCTTCCAGTTTTCAAACTAATTTAAATTCTCAGCAGCAACAGAATCAAAAACATGTTTGAGTCGTTATTTCTGTTCAAATCTCTTCATAAATGACTCAGAAACAAAATGGCTGCAGGAAATAAAACATGAGGTTCTTCAAACGCTTTGAAAAAAGGTTTTAACTGAAAGATTCAAATCTATCAACAATAATTTTATTTGTAAAATAATCTGACCTGTAAGAACAACCTGAGCTGGAGGTTAAATGACCTTTGACCTCCAGCTCATCTCAGACTGTTGGCCGAGTTGAACCAGAACCAGGAGAAAACAGACGTCTGTCTGTCCATGAGGTCAAAGGTCACAACGTCCTGCAGACGGAGAAACAGAACCAGAAACATTTCCTGGGCTGGAGCCCAAACCGGGTCAGAACCGAGTTTCTATCAACGATCATGAAACAGAACCAGGAGATAAAAACGGATAAATTATGAAAAACTTTCTCAGTTTCCAGGAGTGTTTACAAAAGAGGAAAGAGAAAAACATTTCCTGGATAAATCCTGATGAAACTGAGCCGAACCAGAGGCGCCAGCCTGACGTCACTACTTCCTGTTGGAGCAGAGAACTAAAATATTTAGTCTGTAGTTTCCACTTCCTGTTTGTTCCAGATACACTGCAAAACCACAAAACATGAAAATGTGAAATAATCTTCCAGTGGAACCAAAACTTTTTCAGAAATATTGAGGAATTATTAACTGAAAACAAGATTATATATTCGGCTGAAAAGTTACTTATGTTAGTTTCAACTTATTTCTAGAGTTTAAATAAAACTGCAACAGGAACCAGATCGAGATATTTGGCAGGACTTTGTGTTTTTTCAGTACCTGAAGAATCAAAGCAGCAGATGAAACAAAACGAATTCAAGTTTTAAAGTTTTATTCGTTTTGACATTTCAGACGTTTAACATTCACACAATTAGATGGAAATCAACATACAGCATCTATCTATCATATATCTATCATATATCTATCTATCATATATCTATCATATATCTATCATATATCTATCATATATCTATCTATCATATATCTATCTATCATCTATCTATCATATATCTATCCATCATATATCTATCATATCTATCTATCATATATCTATCCATCATATATCTATCATATCTATCTATCATATATCTATATATCTCTCTGATATTTTCTGCTCAGTTCTTCCTCGTCGTGTTTCGTGGCTCCTGTTGCTTCAGAGGGAATCGTTGAGCTCCGGTCCGCTGGGCCCGCAGGCCTCTTCCTCCTCTTCCTCCTCCTCTTCTTCTTCGTTGGTATGCAGCCTGACGCTCGGCTCTGTTTTATCTGTCCTCCGTCTCTCTGACCTTCTGCTGCTGCGAGGATGAATACAGATCAGGAAGCCGAGACGCAGCAGGACTCCTGACTGATGAACACATTAACCTGAAGCTGATGAACACATTAATCTGAAGCTGATGAACACATTAATCTGAAGCTGATGAACACATTAACCTGAAGCTGATGAACACATTAACCTGAAGCTGATGAACACATTAACCTGAAGCTGATGAACACATTAATCCTCCTGCAGAAACTCGTTTTGCATTATTTATTTTTCTCNTCACATATTGCTGCAATTAAAGGATAACTGCTCACTTTCACACACACACAGATCGGAGTGTGTTAGTTTCATTATTGATGCTCAGAGTTTTAATTGGTGTGTGTGTGTTGAATAATGCAGGCGTAGTAGAGCTTTTTACTGTCACCACACACAGATGCTGTGTGTGTGTGTGTGTGTGTGTGTGTGAGCATGAATATTCATGAGCTCTTGTGGTTAATTTGTCGCTTGTTTGTTAAAACCAGAAACATGCAAGATGTTCTCTCTCGCCTTTCACCAAGCCAGCCTCAATGTGTGTGTGTGTGTGTGTGTGTGTGTGTGTGTGTGAGGATTGTTAAATGCCACCAGAGGCACTGATCCACAGCCATTTGCCTTCTGTCTGCTCTGTTTACGATGAGTCTGTGAGTCTTTCTGTCTCTCTGTCTATGTGTGTGTGTGTGTGTGTGTGTGTGTGTGTGTGTGTGTGTGTGTTCCTGCAGGATGCAGGCAGATGTGACAGCTCATATGTCTGCAGTTGGGTTGACAGGAAACTAATTTGTTCCTCTCTCCACCAGGAGACAAAGATCGACTGTGTGAGAGTCGCCACCAAAGGTAAAATGGAAGCTGCTGTCAGCCACACTGGTCCCAGATCAGCCACACTGGTCCCAGATCAGCCACACTGGTCCCAGATCAGCCACACTGGTCCCAGATCATGTAGAAATAATATTTCTTCCGGGTGTGTTTCTAAAGAAGTGCCCAGTGATTCCAAAAACTTTAGTTTCATTGATTCCCATTTGTTTTGCAATGATTGTTACAGAATATTTCAGGAATATTATTCATAGATTTCAAACAAAACGTTCTGTTGAAAGTTTTTTCCATTTTTCAAAACTGATTGTTCCCATTTATTCTACAAATGGTTTTCTGAGTCATTCCAGAAGGATTGTTGTTAACGAGGGTTTCTGTATTTCCACTTACTGCAGAACGGCAAACCACTAGACGGGGGACGGGGTGGGGGACGAATGAAGGGACGGGATGGGGGACGAATGAAGGGACGGGATGGGGGACGAATGAAGGGACGGGATGGGGGACGAATGAAGGGACGGGGTTGGGGACGGTGGGACGTCCAGCAGCTGAAGGTCTCTGGTTTGGTTATTAATAACTGCTGAGTCAAACTAACAATTTAGATGAAATTGGCTGAGATACGTGATCACCATGATGATGATGATGATGATGATGATGATGATTGCCAGGCGGTTTAGTCTTATCTGTAAATGTTGCCTGATGAGGTTGAGACATTAAAATAACATGAAGAGAATAAATACAAACTTTCTACAATATACAAGAATTAAACAATTTATTTACTCCAAATAAAATGTATTGGAGAGAAGTTTGAATTAAGTTCAAACACAGAACTTGATGTCAATCATTTTTGACATAAATAGAAAGTAATTTTTTGAAGAATTGATTCTTATTCTATTGATCAATTATTGAAGTCATCAACAGTTTAATCATTTGGAATGAAGAATTTAATGTTTTCTGTTTAAATGTTTTCAGTCCAAGGCACAAATATAAATTATTTATGAGCAATGGGGCTTCAATGAGGCTATTCAAGCAGGAAAAGCTACATGTAGCCTTAGCCACAGTTAGCTTAGCTTCTGTTAGCTTTAACAAAAGAGCACATTAGAACGTTTTAGAGCTGTTTCATGTAACTGAGTGGCCAGAGAGGCAAAGAAGAAATAAAAATAACAGCAAAAGAAGCAAGCACTGCTTACTGGACTATGATTGACCCGTCTGAGCTCTGTGGTTAGCTTTAGCTTCACCCCCAGTGAACATTAGCATGACCACACTGAGCTAACGGACCAACACCAGCAGTTCTGCTGGGGAACCACAGCAGCTGCTGCTTGGCTCAGTCGCTCCCATCAGGCCTGCTGCAGAAACCAACACAGTCTACCGATGGGCCCCTTTCCCTCCCATTGGGCCCCTTCCCCAGTGTGAGCAGAGCTAACAGTTAGCCTCCTGACATGAATGTAAAGCGGCGCTGCTCGCCTCCTGAATGCTAACAGTTCATCAGCAGGGAAGCAGACGCTTCGGTTGGTTTCAAAGCCTGGACTGGACTCTCTGGACTGGAGGGAAGGAAACCTGAAGAAAGTTTCCTGCTGAGTCTAGAAACATGAAGCTGTAACTTTCTGATCAGATCAGAGTAAAACCAGTCTGATGTGGTGCAGAGCTAGAGGAGGTCTGGATAACCAGGACATTACACCCAATAATGCAGGCTCCTCTAGCGCCGAACTAACAGAGATAATCAGAAGTAATCTCGACTTACTCTGGAACTTCCTGTGAGTCAGAGAGCCAATCAGGAGGCTCGACAGAATCATGGGATCCTGGTCTGATCCCAGGTTCCTCCTGACTGCTTGAACAGGTGAAGGCACCTGGTGGAGTCTAACCTCTGCTTCTGGCTGAATGATTGATTACTAATGTCTGAGCACTGATTGGCTGATTAACCAGCTTCTCTTCCAGGTGTCTTTCCTGAACTAAACTACTTCCTGTTGACCTGAAAGGCTCCTGGTTCTCCTGAAGGAGGCTCAGCTTTGTCCCTGGGGGTTTTGGTTTGGGGGTTTGGAGGTTGACCTGAGCCGTTTCTCTAGATGACCTCCTTCAGGACAGCCAGAGTCCCACGCTGATGTCTCCTTCAGCCCGTCTCTCTTTCTCTGTCCCCGTCTCTGCATGCCTTCCTGGACCAACAGCTGCCATAATCGCCACCCAGCTCACCACGCCGTATGTTGGCGTGGCCCCGGAGGCAGGCGACAAGCAGCTGACAGGTCAGAGGAACACACGGCTCCACGCCTCCACACGTCTCTGGTTCCCCCGAGTCTTATGTTCTCTAAGTATCTCAGATTGGTGGGTCTGGGTCCGGTTCCCCCCAGTGTCAGACAGCAGAGGGAGCCCATAAAGTCCCCAACCAGGACCCCCACAGGTTTTAACAGAACCGCAGCATCGCAGGTTTTAACAGTGTGTGTGCGCATCCCAACTGTGTGTGTGTTAGAGTGCAGCAACTAAACAGTGGAAAGTTTACACCTTCAGGCTAGTAAATATTTAAATGTAATTTGGAGTGAGTTGTGGATCAGAGTGTGTGTGCATCCACCTGTTCACACACACATATGAACACACAGAAGCAGGGAGATAAATTCTGTCTTCAAATGGTTTTGATGGCCTTTAAACTGAGACAGCTGTGTGTGTGTTACTGTGTGTGTGTTACTGTGTGTGTGTTACTGTGTGTGTTACTGTGTGTGT